TGTGTGTGTGTGTGTCTGTGTGTGTGTCTGTGTGTGTGTGTGTGTGTGTGTGTGTGTGTGTGTGTGTGTGTGTGTGTGTGTGTGTGTGTGTGTGTGTGTGTGTGTGTGTGTGTGTGTGTGTGTGTGTGTGTGTGTGTGTGTGTAATTTTATTTTTTTTCTCCTGTCCTCTTGTTGAGTCTTTTCAGTCGTGTCTTCAGTCTCCCAGACGAGGTTGTGTTGCGTGTTCGGCACTGGACTTTAAGACCCTCACGAGGTTCTAAGCCGGTTCTCCTGTGTGTTTCAGGGGTCCTCAGGATACCTGTTTTGAAGGAGGCGTGTTTCCAGCCCTCCTCAGCTTCCCGTCTGATTATCCTCTCAGTCCTCCCAAGATGAGGTTCACCTGCGACATGTTCCACCCCAACAGTAAGTTTGGTTCTTTTGGAACGTTTCTTTAGTTGAGTCGTCACGTGACATCTCCACGACAACGGCAACCTGCTGAGACGGCGTTCCGCTTCAAACCAGTCATTTGGTGTGTCGGGACCCGCCGCGCTGCACCATTAGCTTGCTGTTAGCACGTTGTTAGCATGCTGTCACTAGCGCTGTGATTAGTGGCCTGCAGCCTGAGCCATGATGTCACAGCAGGGAGACAGTCTGAGCGCGCTCCGTACTGATTAGAGGAGGAGGACGCTCAATGGGGACCCGTCATCATCATCATCATCACCATCATCACCATCACAGACACCAGCATGGCCCGGAGATGAACCTCCTACTGTAACTGAAGCGTCTGATCCTCCATCAACAAACAGCAGCAGATAAAGATGAAACGCATGAAGAAGAAAACACTTAAGAGAGCTACAGAGACTCAAACTGTCTAAACTCAAGGATCATTTTGAGCTTTAATATAAAACTTTATTTAAATAGTCACACACATGGTTGGTTCCTGCAGTAACAGTAGCTGTTAGAACCTGCAGGTGTCAGAGAGCATGAAGAACCTCCATGACAGGAAGCTGATCCCAACCTGATAACACCGGCAGATGTTTGATGATGATCTCTCATTTCCTGCCTCAACTGACGGTAACATACGGTGCTTTTGTAGTAAATGTGAGGACACTCAAATTAAATTCAAGATAAATACAAATCTCCTTTTCTAAAGAATTCCCTGAGTCTTCACTTTCACAAAAGTCTCCTCTGTCAACACTAAACCCTCTCTAGAAAGAGTCTCGACTTTCAATGTAAAAGCGTCTCGACTTCTCTTTGAACCTGTTTCAGACTGGACCTTCTTCAGGTGTGTTGGTCTAATGCGACTGAAGCTGAACTAAAGTGTTTCTAGACTTCCTGTTGTGATACTAACTACTTCCTCCTCCTGTAGTCTATCCAGATGGTCGGGTGTGTATCTCCATCCTTCACGCTCCAGGTGACGATCCGATGGGCTACGAGAGCAGTGCAGAGAGGTGGAGTCCAGTCCAGAGTGTGGAGAAGATCCTGCTGTCTGTAGTCAGCATGTTGGCAGGTAAACACAGACTAAGGCTTCATGACATTAAACATAGAACTGGAGTCATGCTGACATTTAAGACTGACACTCTTGTTTCCCCTCTGTTTCCTCTTTGTTTCCCCTTTGTTTCCCCTCTGTTTCCTCCATTGTGTCCTTGTTTCCTTCCTCTCCTCTCAGAGCCTAATGATGAGAGTGGAGCTAACGTGGATGCGTCTAAGATGTGGCGTGAGGACAGAGATCAGTTCTATAAACTTGCTCAGAAGATCGTCCGGAGGTCTTTGAGTCTTTAGAGAACGAACACATCACAAACATGGAAACCAACCAATCAATCACACAGAGCGCTGCTGAGACGGACGGCTCAATAATCAATACACCGACGGACGGACTTCACTCATGTTTGGATCAATACAGAATCCAAACATTACGCAACTTCAAATTTACTAAAAGTTGACAGAAGAAGAAAACCGGTCGACAGTCATGTGATCATTCTCACAGTGACATCATCAGACCTGTGTGGACCGACAGCAGCAGCTCCTTTACTGTTATCATTATTAATATCATCAATATTAATGTTTGATGCATGCAGGTCACAAGCAAACACTGATGACAACCAGGACATAAAGCGATACAATATATTATATTATATTTAGCACTAATCAATAACAATAGAATATATAAAATAGACCAGTAAAGATTAAAAAGCTGACAACTTTCCTGAAGATTAAAAAAGTGTAGAAATGGGTTTCAGAACAATAACATAAAAGTCTGAAGGTGTCTTTATTTTGAAAGTCCTGTAGGGCAGGAAGTCAGTGAAGTGAATGATAACCCTTTCAAAATTAAGGTTCATGTGAATGAGTGATGTTCAGCAGAAAACATGTTTTCATATCAGGAAGTACAATGATTTCAGAATAAAGTCATCTACAGAAACAATGCACCAATCAGAGGGTTTGAATGAACCTTTAATGTGAAAAGCAACTAAATCAGCATGTAATCGGATACTTCTTCTTCCGCACAGTACTTTGAGTAGATAAACACTTTTGTTTTTCATTAAACTACAACTTAAGGATCAAGTGAAGAGATGAATCGATGGTTTCCTGCTGTTGTCGGTCTGATGAGCCTCAGCTGGTTTTATTGTGGTGAGGTGATGATGATGAAGATCAGGAGCTCCTTCAGCTTCTCTCAGTTGGACTTTATGCACTTTATCTGAAGGACGATTGTCGGGTTCAGAGGTTTTTAAAAAGTGTCGCTGGATGTTTTTCCGTCTGGTTTTAAAGTTTCAGACGACAGCAAAGTTTCTTTTAATTTGTCTTTTATTCTGAAAGAATAAACAGGAAATAAAAGTCTCTGATTTTCATTTATTGATCTGTTGGACATAACAACCTGAACTCAAACGGCAAGAGTACTACGAGGTCTAAAGTATTTCTTACCGAAGTAAAAGTACTAATACAACAATTTAAAAAGTAATAGCAGTAAAAGTACTCATTCAACTCAAGAGTACTGATTGGTTATCATTCACACCTCTGACAGCTGAGGCTCATGGGTAATGTAGTATTCAGAGACATCACAGCAGGTTAAAGACTTCAGAAGAGAAGCAGAGAAGAGTGTGTGTGTGTGTGTGTGTGTGTGTGTGTGTG